GAAACGTTTGTTCGTTCCTCGTTCCTCATTAAACGGTGACAATAATAAATAAAACTGATCGTCCGAGAATAAGAAATTAATCTAAATTATATATCATAGACATAATAATATAATATATTAATATAATATTAATTATTAATATTACTATATTATAATATTATTTTATTAATAGTTAATATTATAATATTATTATATTAATAGTTAATATTATATAATATTAATTATTAATATAATATATTATAGAGACATATATTATAGATACAACTCAAACGAACTATTTAAAGTAATAACGCCGTGAACGGTGAAACGCCGTAGCGCGACGATGCTCGTTTCGGAATTGTAAGCCGGCCGGACCGTATGAAAAGTGAAAGAAAGCTGATTGATAATAAGTTGTTTCGTACGCGCGCGATTTCTGATTGCGGGTTGTTTCCGCGGCCGTTCCGGTCCCCGTTCATTCCTCATTTCCGAAGGATAAAAGTGGACCCGTACACTTTGAACCGCGCTCTGGTTTAATTGTTCGTCGATATGACACGCCGATATAACAACCGCGATAAAGCAAGAAATTACGGATCCTCGTTAAAACTGCGAATGCCGGGACCCGCGTCCGCCAGGTGTGCGCTTCTCCGTGTATCGCCTATACACGCGTGTACCTGCTGGCTGGCTAGCTAATGCGGTCGATCGTATCCAAATAGGTATATTATATATAATACATATATTGTATTATTATAGGTATATGTATATTTTTTGTATTATTATAGGTATATATATATTGTATTATTATAGGTATATATATATTGTATTATTATATATAATATATATATATATATATATATTGTATTATTATAGGTATATTCGAGCAATTTCTTTTTCTTTTTTTCGTCGCTCTAATACGCAGAGGTGTCCGCACACGGAAGACCGTAGGGCGAGGGAGGGGCGGAAGAAGGGAGGGGGAGGGGGGCGCGAGGGCGTCGATATTCGTAAACTACATTCGCATCTAATAGATAATTAACAGTTTCGCCGGTGGCCGTGACCGATATGTGGTAACAGCGTCGCACCGGTGTCCGCGATATCAATAATAAGCGATGAGCATGCGTGCGGCAAAAAAGAACGTTCGCGTATATACACATACATATAGGCATACGTAGCCAGGTAAATGGAAATGACGGTTCCAAGCACGCCAATTTTTTGAAAGTATACCAAGGTCACCGTGAATTTATCAAAGGGAACTAGAGGCACAAAGGCGGCGGGCACGTTGATGCGAGCGGTGGCAAGTGTGTTGTAGGCTTCTTGCCGCAGAGAATCGTCCGGTTAAATATTCTACTACCACCACCACGAGAGAGAGAGAGAGAGAGAGAGAGAGAGAGAGAGAGAGAGAGAACTTCTATTTCTCGTGGACGAAACGTGGGTCCTTGGGCGGAGAGGATCTCTCCGTCGACTCCGACCGTTTTCACGATGAAACACGATCATTCGTAACGGAGAGTACATATACGAGACGCTCCGTAAAGGGATGAAAATAATGGATAAAATCGTTCGTGCCGGTACGGACGCGCTCGTGAAACGTATTAACAAGCACGGTCGTAACAACAAACAACAGCGCGCACGACGGCAATGATAATAATAACAGGTAGATCCAGTTCGCCTGAATTAGTTTGTACGAACAATAGCGTTTGGAACGCGTCCCGAGCGATAAGTGTGCGTGTGTGCGAGAACCATGGTGTCGTTTTTCCGTGGTAAGAACAAACCGTCTAGATCGTTCGTCGATAGAAAAAAAATTAGTCACGATCGCAGCAGCTAGCGTCGTCGCGCATTCATTCGCGTGTACTCTCGATTCCCGGGATGCTGAGAAAATCCGATAAAAATTCGGAATTCACCGTATAAAAAACGCGTCCGCGAATTTGTTCGGTTTCACCGGGCTCGCCCCGTGCACAGAGGCTGGTAGGTGGGTTTCCTAGGTTCCGGTACGAGCGGCATGAAAAGGGAGAAAAAGAAGTCCGGACGATAATACTTGGTCGATTGTATTACGCATAGCCGTAAGCTCTGCAGATGCGTGATGCGCTAAACGTGACGCGGTACGACGACGTTCCGCTGGGGCTAACCGCGCGAAAAAGACCATTTTTGGGCACCGTTTGCCGGGAAAAATCGATACTCTTGCAGGCTGATAGGACGTCGAAAGTATGGATTCATGACGTAGCCTCACGGAAAAGGGCCGGCCTGCTTTTAAGCAGGGTTTTCGAAAAAGTCTCTGCTGGCCAGGTTGCAGCGAGCCTGCGCACCGGTGTACGCGCAATGCGACACGCGATAGAGTAGGACAGGGCGTCTCGTAATCTCGTTAAAAAGAGACGGAACGGGGGATGGAGAAGCGCACAGCGGCGTTCACGATTAACGGTAAGGAAGGGAATTTAATGGGTGTCACGGCAAAGAATGTTAATTTTATACCTTACGTTTATCGATGTAGCGTCTAATTGGTGTTAATTTAGCAGGCGANACTTCTATTTCTCGTGGACGAAACGTGGGTCCTTGGGCGGAGAGGATCTCTCCGTCGACTCCGACCGTTTTCACGATGAAACACGATCATTCGTAACGGAGAGTACATATACGAGACGCTCCGTAAAGGGATGAAAATAATGGATAAAATCGTTCGTGCCGGTACGGACGCGCTCGTGAAACGTATTAACAAGCACGGTCGTAACAACAAACAACAGCGCGCACGACGGCAATGATAATAATAACAGGTAGATCCAGTTCGCCTGAATTAGTTTGTACGAACAATAGCGTTTGGAACGCGTCCCGAGCGATAAGTGTGCGTGTGTGCGAGAACCATGGTGTCGTTTTTCCGTGGTAAGAACAAACCGTCTAGATCGTTCGTCGATAGAAAAAAAATTAGTCACGATCGCAGCAGCTAGCGTCGTCGCGCATTCATTCGCGTGTACTCTCGATTCCCGGGATGCTGAGAAAATCCGATAAAAATTCGGAATTCACCGTATAAAAAACGCGTCCGCGAATTTGTTCGGTTTCACCGGGCTCGCCCCGTGCACAGAGGCTGGTAGGTGGGTTTCCTAGGTTCCGGTACGAGCGGCATGAAAAGGGAGAAAAAGAAGTCCGGACGATAATACTTGGTCGATTGTATTACGCATAGCCGTAAGCTCTGCAGATGCGTGATGCGCTAAACGTGACGCGGTACGACGACGTTCCGCTGGGGCTAACCGCGCGAAAAAGACCATTTTTGGGCACCGTTTGCCGGGAAAAATCGATACTCTTGCAGGCTGATAGGACGTCGAAAGTATGGATTCATGACGTAGCCTCACGGAAAAGGGCCGGCCTGCTTTTAAGCAGGGTTTTCGAAAAAGTCTCTGCTGGCCAGGTTGCAGCGAGCCTGCGCACCGGTGTACGCGCAATGCGACACGCGATAGAGTAGGACAGGGCGTCTCGTAATCTCGTTAAAAAGAGACGGAACGGGGGATGGAGAAGCGCACAGCGGCGTTCACGATTAACGGTAAGGAAGGGAATTTAATGGGTGTCACGGCAAAGAATGTTAATTTTATACCTTACGTTTATCGATGTAGCGTCTAATTGGTGTTAATTTAGCAGGCGATACGCCGCGGAATAAACTGTCCCCCCCGTTCGATTTACCAAATGATGCAACTCGAGATTGGCTCGCGGTGCAATAACAGCGTGTCTGTTATATCGGGCAAGAAAGGAAATTTCGCTTTTTGTTTTACTTTCCTTTTTGCTTCTAATGTTCGCGTTCGCGCGAGATACGGGAGGCTGAGTTTAATCGGACGAGTTTATTAGAAATATTTTTTTCAGCTGGTACACGTTTCGGTACACCCCGACGAAAATTGATTTGTTCGAGGAACGAATAGCGGAATAACCGTCGATTACTATTTCATTTTCTTGGAGACATTTTCAAGCTTTCCTTGGTTGAATCGAAATGATATGATACGGTTATGTTGATACGAATATATCTGCTGCAACAATCTTTTAGGTCCGTTTTGTATTGCGTCATATTTCGATAATTACATTGCATAAATAGTAAGGGAGATTCGAGAAATGATCATGATGCAGGTGCTCTTCTGTTTAAGAATTATGCGAACGTTTAATATCGTGTTGCACGTTTTCTCCCACTTTTCGCGCAGGAGTATTTAAAATATATTTATTTCTTAATTGCTTCTTTTTTATCGAGAAATCTGGTCGTGGTTGAATAACGTAATTAATGTTACTTAAATCGAGCATCGAGTACACACGCGCGCAAAAGTATAGTTAATATTTAATTGGATAAATATCGCATCTATTGTTGATGTTAAGATACACCTTAAAGCGTTTTAATAACGTAATTTTATTGTACTTTGAATGTAACAAATTGAAAGACACGTTATCGAATTTAAAACGTTCGCGGAATTATAACAGAACGTGCATTAATCAATCAATATCCAATATAAAAATATTTTTACCAAAATAAATTGTAAAGATGTGTATACGGATATAACATACATGGGTCAATACGTTTGTTCGCTTATCCTATAGAAGGGACGTACCAGCAAGCGATAATATTGAACAAAGAATAATTTTATTTGAATTTACGGTATCATTAATTACGATTATACGTGACTTATTTTAGTATTTTTCGCGTATTACATTTATGTCAAATATGTCGATATGAATTTTACAGCTACAAGTAAATGCCTGGGCGTATAATATGTTTATGCTAAAGTAGGAATAATTGAAAACTGTAGATGATAGCTGTATGTATAGGGTGTTGGGAAAAATTTCAGGAGTAATTATTTAGTATGCGCTTTCAGCTTTATTTTTATGTTAGTAATGATTAAAGGTCTCCCCGAGTGGTAGCATGCGTAAGAGAAACGCGAACAGTGACGTATCTTGCGTAAGACAAAGACACGCAAGTTTTACGCTATTGGTCGATTTTGATTGTTAATTAATTAATTGTTATTTCACATATGCGAGATTTAAAAGGTTCTCGAAATGCTCGTTCAACGGAAGCATTCTCGGATTCACAGTGGTCTCTTTATTAGAACTCGTTACAGTGATTGTTTTTTAAGTTATTTGTACAATTATAATATTTCTTAACGCATCCATTTGTTTATACAGTATTTTTAACAGTGCAACAGTAAAGATAAGCAGGTACTATTGCCACAAGGGCAAAGGAATGCCAATGTTGCAGAATAAATTGTGATCTTTTTTTCAAGTAATTAACATTTTGAATCATTCGAAAGTTACAGGTATAGACAAAATTGGTAATATCGGATTCGTAGTTTCTACTTCAAGGGCTGTAGCCATACAATCACTTGCCGCTTCTACTTCCCCTAAAGATTCCAATACCTTCCCTAAATTGTACCTACGAGAATAAAGCGAAATTAAATTATTCAATACATTTCAATGGAAAAACATAACCATTATATATTTAGAACATTTCTATTACCATGTTTGATGAGAATTTGGATCGATCTTTGCCGCATCCCTTAGAGTTTTTTCTGCCAGCCTTTGGCTTCCCAGATAATGGTAGATTAAACCCTGATAATATAAATACCGTTTTTTAGTGTTTTAAACTACTATTAATTTACTATCGTATATGAAATAATATGAACATAGAAGTAGCTATTATTTAGTAATTATGAGATACATTACTAAGTGTTGTAGACTTTTTATATGCGACGGATTGATCGAAACTGCATTCTGGTAACACTGTTTTGCCTCCAAATATTCCAATTTATATTCGTGCAACAATCCTCTCTAAAATAAAAAAAATGGGTTTAAACATTGATATTTATCGGGTTGACTTTTTACGTATAAAAATATTGAAGAAACTTACCGTATACATAATATGATGGCTCAATGGAAAAATATTAGTAGCTTCTTGTAAAGAGAGAACAGCACCATTCGGTTGATCCAAGACCAAATACACCTCGGTGAGCAACAGCCATACCTGCAATTGCAACAGCCATGCTCTTTGTGGTCCAGGTTTTGGAGTAAACGAACTAAGTGAAGATGCAACCTCAGAAAGAGCTTGTTCCACTCTCGAAGCAGCTAATGACTGTGCATGCAGTGAACCTATTTAAAATAATATTATTTATGAAAATTGCTCGACTTTGTAAAATTAAAATGATAACTACTTGTTCGATACATACTGGAATCTTTATCGGACATTTCAGAAGCGTACAACTGAAAAACACTTCTAGTTTCGCTACGTTTTTCACTATGTTGTTCATTGCAGTTAACATTAGTCTGATCCTCGTATAGATTTTTCCAAAGTAAAAGCATATGCCTTATGGTAAACAAAGCTTGTTCACCTCCCATACTTCGTAATTCAAGATGCGCTTTTACAAAAAGAAAGTTTAAATTGTCCGGATATTCCTCTAATACACTGTTGATTAAATGAAGTGCTTCAGAATATTGCTTGTAAGCTGATAATAATAATATCAATAAATGCAACGATGGAATGTGTTCTGCTCGAAGATTCAGTGCAATTTTTACATGAATCATTGCATCGTTAATTTGCCTATTAATAGCATACTCATGAGCCAAATAATACTCAGCTAAATGATCATTCGGATCGCATTGTTGTGCCCTATAAAAATAGTATACAATGAAAAAATGTATTATGAACAATTTGATTTATATTTCACATGAAAATTACATACTTTTGAAAACATTCTAAAGCTGTTTTCGTATGATAAGTCTTATCCAATTTTACTATAGTATTTGCAGAGAGAACGCTATGACCAATTCCAATATAAAGATGACACCTGGATTGCATACCTTGCGAACTTGCAGTTTCTCTTTTAAGTGCTTTCTGACTCCATTCAATACCTTCTTTTATCTATAAAATTTATTATTTTGAGTAATTAAATATCTGTGATATATCAGATTGTCCAATGTGTTGCCTACTTAATACAAATAATACAAGAATAATCGTTACCATGTTTAATTGTTCGTAGCATAATCTTGCTGCTAAAAGGCAAGGCATTACTTTTTGTGGCGATAACCTTGCTACCACTTTCAAGACTCTATACGCATGCATATATCTGCCCATACTAATCAAACACAACGCACATTGCGTCCACACATGTGCTTCTTCATGAGAAAACTTCAATGCTCTTTCAAAAGACTGTTGCAATATGAAGATAAGTTAAGTTTGTGAATACGTAATCATAAATCTTTTTAATGATATAATAAACAAGCTTAATTGTAATCAACCTCATATAGTAACTCCACTTGACTCCATCTCATAACAACAACTGTAAGAATATCGTACACCGCAGTAGCATTCTCAAATGCGTGTATTCTTGCTTCTTTAAATTCGGGGGACTGACTAAGTACGGCATCTCTGACTGCCATGGCTTCACTAATTAATAGTAACAAAATTGTTTCCTCGTATTCATTTCTTGGTACAAACATATTTGGGCCTAAGTATTTCTTTGGCTTCCATGGCGATTCTAAAAAAAAATTACAAAAATTTTTCTTACTCTGCATAGTACTTAATGACATATGTAGCCATTCTTTAATTTTTTCAAAAATTATTCTTGGAAGCATTCTGTATATGAACCGATGATCTACCAATTTACAGACATATATGTATAATATGATTACCTGTTGTTTCACTTTGTTCTTCTGGTGCTTTATATTCAGCCCCGCTTATTCCACGTATTAACACCTCCGCTAATTGCCTTGTTAAAGTTACACGAAGACTTTGAGTAGCCGTAGACTCCATAGCAGACAAAATTTCCCTTTTCAATTATTTACTCTCATAAGTAAATCATTCAATTTTTTTCACATAAGAAAGGATTGAAAAAAATTACTTACCTGTAACGATTTATTGCAGCTTGAATATTTCCAGTTTGAACATACAATACAGGCGCCCTTTGCAGTGCAGTTTCTAAAATTGGTCCAATATGTTTTGTAGAACCATATGTAGACTGAGAAGAATATGTACCTGTTGAACAAATGATATGGAAACATTAGTTACAAAATCTCGATTTCATGTTTCAACTCGTTTTACCAACAACCTTATCAAATTACCTGAAAGAGGTCTATGTGTATGTAGTTAATGCAATATACTTTTATAAAATGAATGAACTGTAATGTTAGTCATTAATCTCTCATTCTTTTCATTATTTATTGTCAGTTACCGCTGATGATCATAATGTGTTATTCATGCATACATGGATTATGAAACTAAGGTTTCCATTTAGCATTGTTTGATTGAAAACAATGAGATGAAAATCAGTCTACTTCACCTGTATTGTTACTATTTATAGTAGAATTGCCATTTTGATGTTGCATTGCAAATTTGTCTTGTTCTTGTAAATATACCAATGTTAGGTCCCCAGCAATTTCGTAACACTTGATGATCTGTTCTTGCCATTCTGTTATTTTATACTTTGACTTAGAATTTGGTGGTAACCTTTCCAGACAAAGACCTGCCATAAATTAATAAAGAACTTAATATTAATATGTTATTGGAAAAAAGGAAAACGCAATCGCAAAACGATAGAAATTTTCATTTTTTTGATTAATCACAATAATAGACTTTCCTCGATAGATAACATTTCTGCTGAAGTTAAGATGAATAGAATACTTTAAGAATAAAAATAAATAAAAATATGTTCGATGCAAACCTTTAATTGCATAGGACTCTGCGATAATGCGGAGACTTCTGCAAGGCAAATGCTTTTCTGTGAGCGTATCAAGTTCAGCTTCCTTATAATGATTCAAGGCCTCTTCATACATTCCCATTGCATAGTGCACTTTTCCTAATAATAAATGTGCATCTAACACAACTAAAGCCTAAAATTTATTATTAATTATATCATTATTATATTGTTCAATTAAAGCATATGCAAATTCTATTAAAACTGTGTACGACACTCTAATTATGCTCAACGAACATTAGATTAAATTTTAAACTATGCATTATTATCATTACATACCTGCTTATCCTTTTCATTTGCTGCAAGCAGCAAATATCGTCTAGTTTCCACTAACCCATTTCTTGCTTTGCCGATATTGGCATCTATAGGCAAAGTTTGTTCTAAAAAACTTTCTAGTCTCCCTTCGCCAGATAAAAAATTTGCTAAACATTCTGAAATGAAATATATATGATTTTACTTGTTTAGAAGAAAAATATTATTGAATGATTCATGAAAGTGCAAATAACAACAATTTATATTCAAAAATATTGAAAATTAAATATATTAATAAATAAAAAACTAAAACATGAATTTGACATAAATTAATGAAGTTCTTAGCATTAATATTGGGGAATGTTTATTAGTGGCTCGCTAATGACAGAGCATTTTCCCGCCTTAATCTTATAATTGAAACAAACTAGGAAAATAGAAAATTCAACTTCAAACGACAAATTCTATAGCAATTATATTTGGCCTTTAAACCAGCAGATTATAATCTTTGACATGACTTAACAAGTTTCTTTCCGCGAATAGGTTACGAAACCCGTGAAGTGACATGTCAAGCCTATAAAATTTAATTAATGATTTTAATAGAAAATCAATTAATACAACATGTAACTGTCATGAAGTAGAATTTTCGTTTGAAAAAAAAATAAGAAGACAAATATTCACCATTGCTTGGATATTGTACTTTCAGGTGTTCTGCTAATTCTATAACCTTTTTCCAATTTCCCTCTTCACGGTTTTTATCGATTTCTGATTCAATTCGAAGGGCGTGTGCCTTTTTACTTGTCATTCTAATTCACGTAGGAAGAGGAATGGGACACACTGCTCAGTCCTTTCGTAATGTTCACCAAGATGTAATGTAATATATCGATCATCAGTGATGTTACGAGCCGAGACAAGGCGTAAAAGTACACGTACGGCAACCTCCGCCTCGAGCACGTGCCAGACTATTTTGAACTGTCTGTCATATCATAGATGCAACAACATGTAGATACGATGCATCGCGAAATCTGTTGGTTGTTGCAACAAACCATTGCGCATTCGTCAGGATGTTAATGTATAAATTATTAATAGTTCAGGAAAATGTTATCTGTTGTAACTGCTAATCATTTAATTTTATCAGGTGTAATAATAACATACAAGTAAACTATTTTTACTTAAATTAAAATTTTTCAGACGATTTAAACCTTAAACTAAAGTAATACAAAATTATCACTTTATAATGCTAATTTATTAGTCTCTCACACGTACATGTGTTAATATAAGGATAAAAACTTTGATTCTCCCGTATTTTGATATTACGCATTAAACATATATACATATATGCATATGTATCCATACATACATATAGATTTATATTAATCTTTGATCTTCAGTCAGAAATTTAATCGTAACACTTTTTAAAGACTAAAATTGGTTTGAACTCTTTTTATGTAACAGTTAAAAAATTGTATATTCAACTTATAATTCATTTCTTCCTAGTATTCTCTGATATCGTTTTTTCCATTTATCTTTCACGTCCGCAACATTATGCTGAAATTACATTTATACTTCGATTATTTTAAAGCTTATTCCAACCGATTTAAAACAATTTAAACGAATGTATGAAACCTGTAATATATGTACTCCACGTTGTGTAAGTACAATAAGTTCTTTCATTCCATCGTTCGTTATATCCATGTAACATATAGAATGTACAGGTGCATCAAATAACTTTTTAACAATTAATTCCCATGTGTCATTTATGAAACAAAATATTAGTATTTCTTGACCGTATGTTCCCAACAATATTTCATTCTGACCATCCATATTGATGTCAGCGATACAAGAACATAAAATACAATCAGATGTTTCACTACCGTTTAACGTTATATCCTCGTCCATCCCATTATTCAGGATGTCCCTAATTGGAGCAAACGGGACATTATTTCTTAATATATAGGATAGAAAAGGAATATACTCACATAAAGACAACTGCATTACAAGTATTTACAATAAGAACATTTAGTTTCGTTTCTTTATCACTTGTAGATTGTTTTTCACCTGTAACAGTAATGAAAGCATTGATTCGCTCTGTCAGATAATTAAATAGTAATATTTTTTAATAAATGTATTTACCATTCGAATCGATGAAGTTGGGTTTTGTAATATTATTTTTTTGTGGAAATACATATACACTGGAGATGGGAGTGTCATATCTTAATTTCCAACTTCGACGGACTTTCAGTTCTAAAACATTAACGATAGCAACTTTCACCAAACCACATTCACAACCAATTACAGTCAGTCTCCTAAATGAATTTGAATTTTACATAATCCATGAAGTTTAATACAATTTGGTAGAATTCAATGAATTAAAGAATATTTAAAATTATACCAGTTATATTCATCATAGTAGTAAATATTAATCCATAATGAAATTGCCTGAATATCATGCAGTTCAGGAAAATATTTCTCAATCGACGATTCGCTGTAACCATGATTTAATTTATCTTCCCTGATCATATGAATCTTGTAATCACTTCCAGACAATAACCAAACAACCTGAAATCTTAAGTAGATTGTAATTCTATCTTAAATTGATACAATTGTATAATGATAAACAATTGATTATTATGAAATAAAAAATTTACCTCGTTATGTGAATTTTGTTGCGGCAATATAGTGTGATATAAATGATAAGGCGTATACGCCAATTCTACCATTAAACAATTTTGTGCTATGGCTTCGATAGAACTACATTCGTTACCCTCTCCATCCGTAACACCTTCTGTATATATATTCAAATATCTCTCTACAGATGTATCCGTGCTTACTTTAATTATTGTTATTCCTATCACAAACCCATCACCTGTATCGGATTTATTATAAGCATCAATTGACATGATTTCTGCTCCACCTAAAGGAAATATAGTTCCATTTACGTACGAAGAATATTTCTTATTTAAAAGATAATAATTTATATTTAAAATTACGAACTTGGAATGTATGTAAATAGTAATTCCTTAACCAACGGTCTTAAATATAAATTTGGCATTGAATGATATTCACAAGAATATATTTTTCTTTTTAAAGAAGCCACTAATACTTTGTTGGAGCCATTGGTGGAACATAATTTCGTCATTGAATAAATGTTTCCTTGCGATGTTAAAGGAAACCAATGGGCATCTATTAAATTACACATGTTCTTGTTTCTATCTAAATATTAATCACATTGATTTATAATAGTGACTAAAATATAATGCTTATTTACATTTGCATTTTATTTCGTTAAATACATTTTTCTAAAAAAGAAAAAAACATAACGTAATCAAGAATATATTTAAACAAATTATATCAATGTTGCTGTTACGATAACATACCCATAATTTGTAAGATTTTCTGTCTATAATTCATCTTGTATCCATGTTGTTTGACAGATGTTTCAAGGTTATAAATACAAGATTTTCAGGTGAAAAACTACTTGTTTCATTGCATGTGATTTGAATGGAAGAATTGTATACTGAAATGCAATTTCGATTAGTTCATTTTGAAATGAGCTTAATATAATTTGAAAGATCCTACGGTAAATACTGCGTTACATACTAATATAAAATACGTTTTTAGAAACATGAGCATGTACATAGCAGAACACACATGTTGTTACAATCTACCACACCAACGCTTATTTAATAAAAGATTCTTGGAAAAGACATTT